CGAACCATTGAAGCGCGCGCTGATAGTCACCCTTTTGATACCAAGCATGACCAATGTTATTCATTGCTAAACCACGATTGATTCGTGATAGAACTGTTAAATCATCTACATGATAAAAGAAAACAGCATTTGATAGTTGTATTGATCATATGAAATAAGAACCAATGCTTGTGCTCACAAAGTAATCCCAATATAAAAGACTAACAGATCATTCAAATTGATCGATACAGAGGCCGATAAAAAAATCATTCAAACTTCAATAACGAGTGCGGATATTTTGATTACAGGTGGCACTTTAACTCGGATTTTTTAAAGTTTAAGTGCCACCCCTAATTTTGATTCGCACTCGTGAAATTACTTATATGTAATTCTTTGCTCATCTTGTAAAAGCTGAAGTAATCTGAATGGTAAAAGAAAGTTGAAAAGAATATACATGAAGGTTATCTAGTTCATATTTACTATTAAAGACAAGGACTTTTGCTGATCCAATTATATCCTGATAAAACTTGTAAACGTTTGTTTTATATGAAATGCTCGAATTCACTTTTTAGATATTAATGAGGATCACCTAGTTCAAGTAGGTTTACTTCAACAAATTGTAGAAGAGAATAATTTTCATTATCAGAATCCGTCGCCAAAATATGGGTCTTGAAAAACACTCACTTATAATTATCTGTTTCAATCAAAAACTGAATGTCTCACATTAGAAAACTGGATTTTCTCTTGTGTAGGCTCCTAAAGACTGCATTATTTTTCAAAGTGTTTTTAATTTTAGAGTGCAACTATTCATAGCTTCAAAAGCCTATGGATCGATACTCGAATGATTCCAAAAGGCTTCCGAGACTGCAGTCCAATATGCAAGACTTTGCAATAATAGGAGCGAAAACACATGATTATGTCTACATGCGATGTGGCATATATTCAGACAAAAGAGCCCTAAATTGGAAATTTTACAACCAAAAAAGTCAGACACTTAATGCAACACGATCCGAAGTCTATATGATGTCACCTTAGTTGTTGAGATTTTACAACAGCATTATATCCTTGGCACGGCGGACATCTGGTGAGTTCAACTAACTCGAGAATGATTTTACTTCTATTGAATCCGCGTTTCTGATGGAATTTTTTAAGAAATTTTCATTCAAACTTCTCAGTTTGTTTTGAAAGATAATTTAAACGACAATGATAAGTAAACATTTTCAGTCAATAGAGGGATAAGAAAGATCGCTTTAAAAAAACATAGAAAAAGAAGAAATAAGATGAAAGCAAAACATATAGGTGTTCTATCTGTTTTTGAAGGAAATGTGATCAGTAAGGTACTTATCTAAAATACTCTCCAACAGTCGCGATGGGCTAAGTAGGGATGCCACTTTTGCGTTCCGTTCCTAGGAACGGGGAACGCCGAACATCCAAACATAAAAAGACAAGCGAACATATTTAAAAATCTCGCCATATTGAAACAAAGCTGGAAAATGCAATTTTGAGACGCGTTCCCGTTCCTGGGAACGGAATACTAAGGAACGGAAATGCCAACACCCCTAAACTAAGGATAGAGAAAAGCTCCACCGCACAATATTGAATTGTTTCCAGCCCAAATCAACTCAATCTGAGCTAAATATTCAACAGAGTCGAGTATTTGTCAAGACTAAGAAATGAATCATAGCCGATAGACGTTTGAACTTACATTTTTGGCTTCCGTTTGATTGACTCAACAGTTGTTGAAAATATTTAATGGCTTGGTCGGCGTCGCTCATATTAATAAGTAATTTTCCAAACAAGATTTCGGCCGATGACTCTGTCAGCTCTCGATTACTGTCTGTTACGTATTTGTCAGCTAACAGAGCACCGCGATCATTTGCCTCAAGTCGAATAATCCAACGGTCGGTTTTATCTGGATCTTCTAGAACTTCAACAAATTCAAAACTTGAGTCAAGGTCAAACAAAATTTCTTTTTCTTCCTGAAATTGACTATAAATTGAAATATCACCACACACAATACGTTTCAAGCCAACCGGAACATCAATTTCGTCTATAATTTCGACCTAAAATAATTAACTAGACATATATTTGTGTTTTGTCTTCTAGTTCGATTGAATACTTTATTTGGATCACCACTATCATTGAATCCAAATTTTTCGGCCATTTTTCGATCTCTTGATGTTGATAAGAATCCACGTGTAGACACAAGATCACCTTTATTCATATGTTCTTTCATTTGTTCAAATTTGTCTCGATCCATGAGCATAGCTCGATGGACAGTCAAGTGTTCTGTTAAACGTGGTAATTCGTCGAGTAACTGACATAAATCAACAATACAATATCGTAAGCTGAACAATCCATCAATATCACGAGCACGAAGTGTCTTGTTGATAATATCTGAGATGAAACTGGGCTGTGTATACCACCATAGAGCGTGATCGGATTCATAGGTCTCAGCAAACTCTACCAATCTTTTTGATTGTGCTGGATTCCCTTGATAGTACTCTCGAAAATGTTCGATCATATCATTTTTAGCTTGTGGAGATTTTTCAAAATGACGAACGACGTTGCGAAGTATATGAAACCATATGAAAGCGGCTGTTTCTTTCGAAAGATTTCGTACTGATTGCTGCTCATGTTCATAAGCATAAAGACGTTTGATAGAATCCAAGCAATATGTAATGCGTTCAATCAATATTGAAGGAGAATCACAGATAATATCAATTTTCGACCGACTTTTTAAATCTAGATACTTTGTTTGATTAAAACAAAATATGAAAATTGTGTGTACATCAGGAGTGAGAAGATTTAATAGTTCGTTTGCCACCAATCCAGACAAAATAAGAAAAATCGATTTACATTCGTCACGATGAACTTTTTTAACAATCGTTTCACATAACGATACATCAGTAATAAGTACAAGACTAGGATCAATTGCACGTAGAATCTTTTCAGTTTCAGATTCTATTTCTAGACATGGATCACACCAAACTAAACGAATGCTATCAGCTGATGACAGACTGTTCAGCCATAGAAGATCAACTGCTTCTACATAACGAGTCATGCTTGATAATAAACGACTAAGAATAACAAACAGAAGGATTATGGCACTAAATGTCACAAATAACGAATGAAACGGCAATGTAATAAATAGAAAGAACAACGAATTCAGAAGTATTTTAACTTCTATCGAATGTTTGGCTATGATTATGCTGAAAAGGAGAACCAACAGTACATACTTTTTAAAAAAATGTTTTTTCTGTTTTTATTTCCTTCTTGTATAGCTGAATCACGACGCTACTTTAAAGATGCATGCCTCATATTTCACATTGTTTCCCGCGGTAACTACTATAATGCTTCTACATATCGAAGAATAAACATGCGACAAATGCGACCGAGTTTGAGCAGAAATAAAAGCAATGTAGACGACTTTGTCTATTCAAATGAAAAAGAAAAACAGAAAGAAAGAAATATAAAATAACGATGTCTGCGATTCTTTTTCTCTAAACAGCTTTCGCTTCAAAAAATTCAAACATACTTGAGAAAAAAGAACGCAAAAAACCTTACAGTATTGAGTTTAACATTTTGGTGTGGGTGTAGGTATGGGTATGTGAGTGTTTAAAGATATTTCGATATTCTCTTTCTCAACTTTCATCCGCTCATATCCACAATCACACACGTCTTTGTATTGTTTTCCATTACAAAATCTATCAGAATTTCAATATTTGGGTGTGAGTGTGGGTTAAGAGATTTCCGGCATTCACACCCACACCCCGCGGTGGCGGCGTGACCTTTTTTCATGCACCGTCCATCTCTGATATGGATATACTCGATTTACCCAATGAAAAGTTATTCAATATTTTCAAGAAACTGGATATGGTAGATATTCTCTGTGCACTTATTGACGTCAATGAACGATTTGATCGATTACTATTTGATCCTATTTCTTCAATAAGCAATCAAGTTCTTTCAAGAATCTGTGAAAAAATCTTATCTCGAATTCATCTCAAAGTCAATAAACTTACAGTTGAATCACATTCAATGAAACATATTCTTCATACTGCCAATTATCCTAAACTTTACTGATTATTTTTTGCAAATTTTCAAGAGGAGATACTTTTGCAGTATCTACAGGTGCATTATTATATATTTGATTCGTTTTAATTTAAAAAACTAATGAAATTATAAGTTGCAGATTAATAATTATTTTTGGTTTTTCTTTTTTAAATTACAGGTGACTCAATTCTTCATGATCTTCTTACTAAACAAATCACATATCTTAATGTTGATATTCAAAAGCAACCAACAAAACAATTCTTCAAAACTCTCTTAAGTATTATTGTATTGATCTTATCCTTATGTAAACGATTAATCGAATCGATTTTTTATCAATTATTGTTTGATCAAACGTTGCCAATTTGTATTTACGAATTATCACCAGCATATTGTATGTCTTCAACTTTAACTAAATTAAATATTAATATCGAAACTTTTATTGATTATCTTTCTTTTCTTGATGGGCGTTTCGATTTTGTATCAACATTAATTATCTTTATGAAAAACATTTTCTTCTCTGGAAAAGAAAACATTCGACTAAATAGATAAACATTCCTAATATTTTTTCTTAGTAGAAAAAACTTCCCAAAGTGAAATATTTCTCGTTAATGTCGATGAGTTACACATATAAGTATGGCAATTGTATTATACCATTACTTCGTCAAATGATAAATCTTGAAGAATTGATGTTATATTGGTCAGTAAAAAAAAAGACTTATCTCAACCTACACTAATAGGATTGAATTACATCATGATATTCTTATTTATATGCCACGATTAGACAAATTTACTTTCAGTGTAAACACAAATGCTTCTATTCAGAATATTGACTTCGATCGTTCATCGAACGAGGACATTCAACTTAGTTTCATTGAAAGAGAAGATGGACTAGTTGGTTCATATTGTCGAAATAACGTCAATGGAGATCGAAGGCAGATCACGTATTCTATTCACGTCTGTATCAATTCAAACATTTCTTTAATCTGAACAACTGCTTTCAAAGTGGTATGCTTGATAAAGTTCGGTTCTTGTGAATGAAAGGCATGCATCATTTTGAACCTCAATTCTTCAAACTTATCTCTCGAAGTTTTTCTTTTCTCAAAGAATTATATATATGTAATAAATACTTACAAGAAGAAAAGCTAGATTCATCAATAACGATTGCGTTTGCTTATCTGACTCTTCTCGATCTGAAGGAAGCACATGCAGATTATACCGAACAATTTCTCTTCGAACAAAAAACTCATCTTTCTTGGTTATTGAAACTTATCATTGCATACCAATCACTTGCAATAGTAACAAACAATTTTGCCAATGATGAAGCATGTTTGAATTGTGTTAAATTAAAAAGGCTTGATACATGTGAATTGTTTGTTCAACCAGGAAACTTTCATCAATATTTTTCTTTATTGTAAATATAACTTCTAAAAATATTTAAATAAAATGAGACAGTTTATGATACTCGGTATGCTTGAGGGTGTGGGTGTAGATACTTTCTTTATCTTTACCCAGCCAACCTACACCCACTTTAGTCCAATCATATATTCATGAGACCTATTGATGATTGTAATTTTAGCTTGGTTGGCTGAACTTGAATTTTCATCTCTAATCACGAAAATGACTGAGAAGTAAAAGAATTTAATTCAACCAACTGAGATGAAATTTCAACCATTGATAGGTCTTACCGATATAGCAGATTATTTATTGTATAGATGGTTTATTCTTTGTCGATAGATCATTGGATCAATACTTGCCACTTAATAGAATTATTTCAGCAACATCGAAAGACCTGATATGGTGGTCGCTCTACACATCTACATCCTTAGTGTAAAGAAGAAAAATGGCTTTTTCATTATGAAAACTATTTTTCTCTGCAAGTTCTGCGTGTTTTCAAAAAGAAAAAACTACGAAGTGTAACTTCACGGAATGAATATGCACGTTAACTGCTGACCAGGTTCCATTTAAAACAACTGAGATAGAATTGTAGTAATCCTTACTGTAGAATGCTATTTTGGTTTACCATGAAAACTGTATTTTATCTTCTGAACTTCGCTATACATATCAGAGGAATGCTCTATATATAAAAGGAACAGAAAATGAAACCAATGGCAAGGAGAATATTATGCAACATCAGACAATCAGAGGAAAATATCCGATTGGAAAATAATATTGGCTAAAGACTTCGAGTTTATTGAAATACATTTTCCATTAAATATTTCTCATGAACGAGATTGCATGTCCTTGATAATCATGGCTTTTGCACTCTTACATTGAAAAATGACAATCATACAAATGAATAAAAAGAACACAAAAATATACTGTAAAATAGAAAAGTATTTGCGAATGTAGAATAGATTATTTTCCTGATATTTTCTCATCTTTGCTTGAATCAACACCAAATTGTCGTTCAAGTTTTTTTTGTACAGCATCAACAGCTGCTCCTACAGCTTTTTTAATTGCTACGTGTATTGCTTTCTTTGTTGCTGATCGTACTATTTTATTTAAGTTCATAGTTTTTTCATCGACCATTGGATCAACTTCACCATGAACTTCTCGAACAATTTGATGTTTAACTTCATTCGATGTAACATTGTGAATAGCTAACTTATTCACTTGTTTTTCATTTTTCTCAGGATAATCTTTTATATACAATCCATTAAAGGCCTCGGGAGATGTTTTATACATTTCATGTACAATATGATCTTTTTGAATCTAAATAGTTTGTGTAACAATTCTTTACTATGAAAGGTTATATATCTAATAGAAATTACCTGATAATTTGCTGGAATTTTCGCAACACGTTCTGTGATAAAATAATTTGACCGATCAGTGACTTCATCTATAGCACTCTGGTTTGACAAGAAGCCTCCCATTTTTGTTTTTGTTTTATACTAATAACACAAGGAAATGCTAGTAAAGAAAAGAAAAAACCATTCACAAGTTCCAATGATATTTTCAATAATGAAGATCGAATTTCACCTCTTTCATATCATTCTTATTCAATTGTTAAAGAATAGAAAAGGAGTATATGTAACTATACAATACTGAATTTTACTTCCTTTGACTTTCGATGATTAATATCGTTCAGAAAAATAAATGATATGCTTCGTTCGGGAATCGAACCCACGATATGATTACTGGTTATCCGGACCAGTGCTCTAACCATTGATCTATCGAAGCACGACTAACATATCATTTTTATTTTCTGAATGATATTAATCATCGAAAGTCAAAGGAAGTAAAATTCAGTATTGTATAGTTACATATACTCCTTTTATATTCTTTAACAGTTATATTCATCCTCTGATAAGAGGAGAATAAAACATCATCATAAAGTACAGGGAAGCATAAGAAGCCGATGTGGCCCATATAATATTTTCAGTCAATTTATTGCCCATCCTATGTGAAAAAATGTGGTGATTCTTTTGGTAATAATTTCAAGTGAAGCTGTAAGGGTTATAAGCCACTTTGAGGGAGAATGGCTGCAAAAAAGTATTGAAGTTTCATTGGGCTCATAGTTGTCTAGTATTAGCTCAAAATATACAACTTTTAGGCAATGTTTCAAGCTCAATCTATATTGGTCAGAAAGAGCATTTAATTCTGCATCATTTCATATAAGAACTACTATTCTCTCATTAAAAATTTAATCATGGAAAATACTGTCCTTTCACAGGAGTATTATTCAGTACTTCACATCCGAACAATAATTAGAACTGTTTGACATATTTTTACGTGTAAGCCAAGCTTTCTTAAATACCATTCGATAGAGCGAAGAAAGAGCTACAAAATGATACATAATTGATTCTATTTCAACATGGGTTACTATATCGAAAGTGTGCATGAATTGTTCTGAAGCATAAAAAGTACACCTTTCTGCTCATTATTGAGTGAATTTGATAAGAATAATTCAGCTTTTGATATAAGCGAATGATATATTTGAAATCAGCGTAAAAACCTGAGTCGATCCATATAGCTTTGAAAAATTTCTGAGTACTTTTATTTTCGTCCAAAAATTCAGCTCGGGTCCTCCTCAGGGTTAGGTCAAAAAATGAAACCCATTAAAACAGTATTTTTATTTATTAGTCATTTGTGTTTTTTAATTTTCCTAACTTTTAAGAACTGCAGAACTTGTTTTTCACAGTCCGAATGGCGTTTCAATCGTTTTCATTTTTTGACCTTGTCCTGAGGGGGACCCGAGCTGAATTTTTGGACGAAAATAAAAGTACTCAGAAAATTTTCAAAGCTATATGGATCGACTCAGTTTTTTATGCTGATTTCAAATATACCATTCGCTTCTATCAAAAGCTGAATTATTCTTATCAAATCCGCTCAATAATGAGCAGAAAAGGGCACTTTTTGTGCTCCCAAACAATTCATACACACTTTCAATATAGTGGCCCATATTGCAATCAAATCAATTATGCATCATTTTGTAGCTCTTTCTTCGCTCTATCGAATGGTATTTAAGAAATCTTGGCTTACACGTAAAAATATGTCAAACAGTTCTAATTATTGTTCGGATGTGAGGTACCGAAGCATACCCCTGTGAAAGGACAGTATTTTCCATGATTAAATTTTTTATGAAAGAAAAGTAGTTCTTATATGAAACGATGCAGAATTAAATGCTCTTTCTGACCAATATAGATTGAGCTTGAAACATTGCCTAAAAATTGTATATTTTGAGCTAATACTAGACAACTATGAGCCCAATGAAACTTCAATACTTTTTTGCAGGCATTCTCCCTCAACGTGACTTATAATCCTTACAGCTTCACTTGAAGTTATTACCAAAAGAATCACCACATTTTTCCACATAGGATGGACAATAAATTGACTGAAAATATTATATGGGCCAAATCGGCTTCTTATGCTCCCCTGTTCTTTTCACAAAAAAACAGTACCAAGGACGGCTCTGTAAAATATTCATGGTTTCTAAGTTAACTCTTTGAAAAATGAATTACAATTAAAATAGTTTTCAAAGCATCTCTCGTTTCCATCCTAAAAGTAAATGCATCGATAAAGCACGGCATCTTATTTTGTAGAAGCGTCTAGATCAACATCTTCCACTCGAATATTTAAAGGGTGAAATTTCCATCCGTTCAATTTTATTGTTTTGTTGTTTTCGCATCTGGAAAATTATTCTACTAATTGAATCGAATGAAGTTTGATTCAGTTATATTAGCCAGTCCATATAAACCACGATCGAACTTGCTGAATTGAGGTTGTTAGATTTTGCTCAATTTGAGAGATCCTGTGGAGAGAAGAATTTCATGAATTTTGATACAACGCGTTTTAAAAACTATTGATCCTTCTATTTTTTATTAGCATTTTACGAAAAGGCCTAAAAATGACCATATCCACCAAGGGAGTCTGAATGTGGCCATATCTCAAGAACGACTAGGCTACTTTGACTGAAATTTTTCATGGACATATATCTCAGTGAGTCCTATTAACCATAAAATTTTTCTTTAAAAATATGGAGCATTGGGATTTTACGAAATACCCAACATGTGCAAAATGAAGCATTTTCGGTAAGTTTCGTGGTTCATAGATTTTGATTGGAATGCACTATAAAACTGAAAATTTCAGCTCTCTATATATTTCCGTTTGGTGAGGGTTGTTCTTTGAAAAACAGGTTTTTGATGAAATTGCGAGTTTTTAGCTTAGGCTATCTTTCCAGCTATGAATTGTCTTGGGAGCTGATATGTAAAAAGTAAAAGAACTCTTTGCGGGTTGCAGCCCTATAACAAAAATTAGCCTGGGATGGCCAGGAATGGTTCTGGAAGACTAATTGAAAAATACCAAAAAATGAGCCCTTTACTATAGGAAATGTACCAAGTTCGCTTAGAAATTGTTCGAAGAGTCTCACCATATGAGATAAATTCTACCCAGTAAAAATCAGCATTTGATTCTCTATTACCCTCCATAAAAAGATCCTTTCAAAATAAAAGAATAATTTTTTTTCAAAAAAACCAGCTGGGACTAATTTCATGAGATCCAAGGCCAACCTTGCTCATTCTATGTCACTGATTTCAATGAAACTTTGCCCAAATGTCGCTCTTAGTGAGTTATGTAAACACTAAAAATTCCAGCGTCTAACATTGTTCTCTTGTTGAGATATTGAATCTGCAAGAAAGTTACTGTCAGATAAAAGATGAGAATGATGATTGCAGTATCTGGGTATCGCATATTTCGCCATTATTCAGTAATAATGTTTTTTGTTATGAAATATTGTGGGTATATACTAGCATAGCTACTCTACATATTGACACAGTTAGAACCACTTTTCGGGATGTTAAGGAATGTAGAGAAATTTCACAGTTTTCACATATACCCCTTAGCTTGTGTCAGGATTTCAATTCTTCATGAATGACTTATGAGCTCGCGCTTTTGAAATAAGTACTACTTTCGTTCACTTAGTAGGAACAATGTTCAAAGGCTGGGACTTTTGGTTTTGACCCGAATTCAAAAGAAGACGTTTCATAGAGTTATGATTTTGATTAAAATCACGATTTTGGTAGTATTTGATCTCTCAAGGAATGAGGTTAACAGAAGTCGAGCTCGTTTTGCTTTAAAGCATATACTGAGTACTACAAAGATATGCAAGAATTGGCTTGAAATCTTACACAATGGTTTGTTTGCGGATGACCTGGTAATATCCTGACGGGTTTACTTGAAAATAAATTTTCAGAAAATGTAAATGACCTTGAACAGAGAGCAGCGACTACCCTGAAAAAACTAGAAAATTTTTCGAATGATTTACTATTACTCGTTAATGTAGCTAAAACAAAGGCAATGCTAGTCCATAACGTTGTCGCGCCACCATATCCACGAGTATATTATAAATCGCAACCGATTGAATATGTTAAAAGATTCAAATATTTAGGGGTGACTATTTCCGTTAAGTTTGGTTGGGGTTTTTATATCAAGGAACGTCTCGGAATGATCAGAAAAATACACAAAGCTATGAGAATTGTATTTAGGACTATTAAGAAGAAAGACAACAATTCGTAGAAGCATCTTCTTTGCATATGCATTACCACATTTCATATGGTTATTTTGTACTGAGTTTTTCTTTACAAATAACCAACGTGATCGTATTGAGCATACCTATTGTTCGGGTCTTAGGATTGTACATAATCTTTGTCAATGGAATGACTTAAATACTCTAGTAATAGCTCGTGAAAAAACCCTTCGTGATTATCTATAAGTATTGGCGACGATTTGCTCACCACCTTTTAAATTCTGATGAAGGTCTTGCTTTTCAACAATCTTGGAATGCTTATCTAATTATTAGCACACCAAATAGTTGGATGAGGATCTTAAATTTTAGACGTAATAATGTATTTTCTCGTAGACTTATTCAACAGGCAACTCACTGTTTAGTTGAGTGGCTAGTGTTTGAAGAAGTCCATAAAACCCAATATGAATATTTCAGGAATACAAATAAATATATAAATGATTTTGTATACAAGTACTTCTCACAAAATCCTTCAGCTGTCATATATAATGTGTAGGCTATAAGTCATATCGATCACTGTTCATCTTTTCCTCATTTCTAGTACCTTATTTGCTTGAATATATGTTGTTCTTATTATTTTTTGTTGTCTACGTGTATTTTTATATGTTAATGTGATACATATAGTGCTTTTTTTTCTCCCATCTTTTTTATTCCTATACTATTTGAT